GAGCTTTATTTATGTATGTATGTATGTATGTCTGCGTTTGCACGCACACTGCCGCACACAGAGATGCACAAATAAAGCCGGGTGCAAAGCCTGAATCATGGCACTCGTGTATTTAATCAAATATCAATTGATCGCCCATCACAACCGTTGCATCTGTCGGAAAATAATTGTTGTTGCACAGAAATTTCCCAGTAACGTACAATTGTGGTAAGTGCAATAGAGCCTGAAATAGAGCCGCATGAAAGTATTAAAATTATAACTTTATTATCAACCAGCATTCTAAGAATAAGCACTCAATCAATTTTAATACGCCAATGCCTAACAAAAGCTAAAATAAAAAAGTTTAAATTAAACTGGCCATCTTTAACAAACCTTTTAACGTGGTAAACTATTCCATAAATCGGAAAATATATGAAAATTTCCTGCCATTAAAAGCTTAATGGTGAAACAATTTGTGGAAAAACTTTCGAGTGAGAAATATAATTGTATAATTGGTTAGAATTATATTTCAGGAACAGTCGTGAGGTTTACTAGTATTCCAGCTGTCACTGTTCCACATATACACACACAGACACGTATATTTGTGTGTGTGCCACGCCCCAGGAAACAGGACTATAGCAAAACAAATGGCAACACAATGCAAAAAAGCCGAAATGCGAGGGCAAGCCAAAAATCCCATTGTACTGGAACTGTCGGAAAGAGACAGCAAGAGGATGGGAAGAAAAGGATGGGGAGATGTAACGACACACGTTCTGTGTCTGTGAGTCCGTGTGCCTGCTTGTGTGTGCGTGTGTATAGTGGGGCAGACCAAGTGGCGCCAATAAAAGTTTTTGTGCTCTACGAAAACATAGAAAAAACAGTAAGAGAGGTTCCCCAAAAAAATTCTACAAATCCTCTGGACTTTATTTATTTTTTCGCGTACGCCCAGAGATTTTGAGCGAACAAATTGGAGCGTGATGTGGAGACACTATGATAGGTTAAGATGCCAAAAGCGGAAATCCGGGTCAAGAACTGTGCCAGACTTTTGAGCTTGACAATCAATGATGTCGTTTTTTGTCATCGTCTCTATTTGCCTCAATCAGCTGCGAAAGCTCGAAGAGCAAAATGCAAATCGAGATAGACACTTGTGGGCACAAAAAGTCGAGCAAACAACCTGCTAAAAGCAAATAATCTAGGTACAAAGTATCGCGCCCCTTTTCGCCCAATGTCATCAACACTCGCTTTTCGTTTGTCCCGCTCTCTTTATGTGAAGAGAAAAAAAAGCTTGTTTGAGCTGAGCAAATAACGGCGTATTTAATCATTTGGTATGCAAATCGAGTTTGTCATAAAAGAAATACCAGCTCACAATACAAGCCGGTTGAATGAGCCTTTTTGGCACAGTGGAGCTTCTATCACGAAAATCATAACATTATTGCCTAGAACATTTAGGTATAAAATATCCTGATGATAAAAAAACACACCGTTTACACTTTAAGTTAAAATGTTGATTTCGATTTACCATTAAATTTTACATTTTTGTAGCTTAGAAATTCATCATAATCCAGTTTTACTGTGCCCCGATTGTGCTCTTTTTTCAGATGCTTTCGGTGACTCAACTAGTTAAGCTTGAAATGTAAACTGATAAGCATTAGCGTTTATAATTGTTAAACTACAAAAATAATTAGCAGCATCAATAAAATGACTCACCCACATTAATTAAATCAGTGACCTGCAGTTTGATGGGCACTGGGATGCCATAGCGAGTGCTAATTGTTCCAAACTTCTCTCTCCTAAAAAATTACCTCCATCGCTCATCTATCAACGCCCATTTCTCTTCCCCACCCCGCCCCCAATAACATGTCATGTGATGATAAACATTTCTGACAGCTGTTTTTTTGTTATTGCCTTGGCCTTTTCGCGCAGGTGCAAAAACAACAACAAGTAGAAATGGAGAGAGAAAAATGCCGGGGAGAGTGAAAGATGGGGAGAGCTAAACTCCAATGAAGTTTGCCCAGTCAAAGTTGCAAAAGAGACGGGGGGAAAGTGAAAGAAAGAGAAACAGAAAGAGAATTATATGTACATATGACATGTGGTCATAATATATGTGTACATATGTAAGCTTATTTTGTATTTTCGGACTGGTTCTTTGCATACATTTTTAAAATTCGAAACACAAAATATGCCTGCCTCACCAGAGGACAAGATTTTTCTATATATGTATGAAAGAATAACTGTGCAGAGCTACATCTGTTCGCAGACAGTGGAGGCCAACGGAATAGCAGTTATAAAATAAGGGTTTCGCCAATATTATTCTTCTAACCAACTTCAACTCATCTAAAAAATGTGTTTTTTTTTTTATTATTATTATTTTAATTTTTTTTTTTTATTTTATTATTTATTTATTTTATTTTATTATTTATTTTTTATTTTTTTATTATTTTTATATATTATTTATATATTATTACAAATACTATATAAACTTAGCATTAGTCTGATATTTGTAAAGTAAAAAAACTGACCTACATAATAAGTTGCAATAAGTTGCGATTAAACTATAATGGAATGGCTCATTTCTTAGTGCTATAATGCTACCCCTTGCTGTGCGCTTATTCACATTCGAGGAAGAAGTGAGTGTTTTTTATAGATACGATATGGTGGCAAACTGCTGCTCCCCCGGAGCGCGACTTCCCCTGATAGTTTTCCTGAACTATGTAAATATGTACATGCGTATGTATGTATGGAGCACTCACCAGGGCAAAGGTGGTGCCGGGCGCCAAGCGCAGGGCGAGACTATGGGTGGCGGTCGCTGGTCGCAGGAAGAGCCGAAAGGCGCTGACCATGGCAGCCCTATTTCTGGACATGATGCTGCTCGCTTAACTGGAACTGAAACTGGAACTTGTGCAGCTGTACTGGACACTTCACCACCGCACTGAATACTCCGCGCTATTATTATTGTGAATCACGATAGCACCGGTTATGAAGGGTAAATAATAAGTAATGTTGTTGTTTGGGTTACAAAATAAATGAAAAATATTAGTACGTCTAAGAGGCTTGGCACTATCTTTCAGCCAAGATCCACAGCCAAATGAAAGCCTATGTGCGAAACGGGTATTATTTATTCGAACCGGAAACTTCAGCGAAGCCTCTTTCATCGTCGTAGATTACAAAGGCACCGTTAGAATCTTCCGATAGGCCCGAATAGATAGCTCCCACGATAAATAAACAAAGTCGACCAATACGAATTTCACTTGCACCTAACATTTTGATATGATTACGTTAAATTTTGACTACTTAGGCAAAAGTGTGTAAGTTGTGACAGGGAAAATGCAACAAGCCGCAGACAACAACAAAAACAACCAAGAACGGGCGCCAAAAAGGAGAACGTGAGAATTTTCGGAGAGGAGGGGCGAAGAGAATTACCGGTTTTACCAAGCGAATCTTCTTTAACTTTTCATGCGCGGCACAAAGGGCAAAAAACCCAGCGATTAGCACTCGGAATAGAATTATATATACATATGTGGAAAGATATATACTCTGGGAATTATATTATTAAGAACGCGCCGCTATCGTGGACCTTTCGCTGCATGGCACTTTCTCTCTTTCGCTCTCTTTGCACTCTCTTCGCCCACGACTTTTTTTTTAAAGCCGGCTCTGCGAGCACGCGATATTATTAATAATTAACTCTTTTTGCAACTGTCGTTTGTGGCCGAGTACCTGTTAGCACGTGCTATTTTTATCGTTCTATAGCTTATCTAGTTGAAATTCAAACGTATAACTTGCGGTTTCGATACGGATTCGACGCGGCAACCATGTATACCGTGGTTTTCTTATATAAATAAATTGATTTACTCAAAAATATACACCGAAATTGCGCGTATTTGAATGTTAATGTTCAAAGTTGTCAATAAAATTTAAAAAACATCGACACCCACAACCGACACGAACGAACTACAGAAATGAACTAACCGAAGCTGCGAAAGAAAAGCTACGCTTAATCGATACTATCGGTGCGCCGCCAGCACCTATCGATTGCCTGGGTGTGATTTCACTGTTTTCACTGATGGAAGTGGCGCCAAGCTACGTATTTCAAAATATTTTATTCGATTTTACAGAAGTAGTGTTTTTTATTTTTTGTTAATTGAGTTAGTTTCCATAGCTACAATTAAAATAAATGTTGTTTGGTTTGTCCAGCGGAGCATTTCTTACTCTTCGTACATTTGATTTCAATATATAGCTGATAAAAAGTCAAACTTTTTGAAAATAACGTATTTTCGGGTCAAATGTTACAGGGAATCGTTGCCATTCCGATTTCCACACATTTTCATTCGATAAGTGTGATATTTCCACACTTAGCGAGCACGCTTTCAATTTGGTTGCTGAACTCGATAAATGTGGATGGTGCGCTTGATAAAAGTGCGAATCCTTGCTAGGTTTTAGAACATAGTCGAGGGTCGTGTCTCGGCTCTATGACGGTCTTGTGATTGAAAATCGTTTTGTTTTAGAACAAAAGTAAACCTACTTTTTAAACTTCCCGCTACAGCACACAAATATAGAAGTCGCATCCATTTTACATTGCAATAATTTCGCTTTTATTATTGTCGCATTACCAATCTAAACTTGAACTAGTCCTCATACATTTACGCATATATCCAACTATACAATAGAGCTTTGCTTAGTGCTGCGTTAAAACTACAACTAGAGTTTTACAGTTTTACATCGAGGCCTGTGACAAGCGCATTTTAAGCCTACTCACTATGCTTAGGCTAAAAACATCTATAATACACTTAGGGAATAGAGGCAGCCTTATGCTTAACGTATTTGTCCGATATATATAATTACACATAAGTAATTTCTGTATGTAAAAAATACAATTTTATTTTACCGAAATATTACAATTATGTAATTGGCGCAGTCGGTAGGATCTAAGACAAATCTCCCACTGGTAGACTAAACATTCCTTGCCTAAAACCTCACAAATTTGTACATTTTTAGGTGTAATAAAATTATATTTTTTACATACGGAAATTAATTATATATATATGGTTTTTACTGCTGGAACGAAGTCACAGTTGTGGCATGGATTTGAAATGCTTAGTGTACACAGAAGTTTCTGCGGCTGCCGTGTGAATAGTAGTACATACATTATGTATTTTGGATCTGTCAAAAGTTATTTGATCGAGTCTTTAGGATGCGGAGAGCTGTATCGGTGTCTGAGGTAATAGTAATAATGAAAGTGCTGGATTACGCGTAAACTTAATTAGGTGCTTAATTCGCCATTGCCAACTAATAAACATTAAACAACTAACAAAGCGCATTTATGCATTTATTCATGATGCCTCATGATATTATTTATGGTAATTTATAATGCGCAAGCATACACACACACTCATGCCTATTTACACAATGTCCGTAGATAAATTCACACAGATACACACTCACACACTGTACAACTTTAGCTGACAACTGCAGTGACATTAATTAGCTGCAATAGCAACAGCAAAACAAAAAAGATTTATGCATGTTAAAGGCGACTAATTATGTTATTTTTTCCATCTTAATTTATCTTTTTTCTACGGCAGCTGCATTTTTAAGCCAACCCTTTTCTGTTTTTCACATTCGGCAAGAGTTTGCAAAAGCTACACTGAGGATATGGAATACATTCCAAATAGAAAACAGGATCGCCTTGAACTCCTTCTTTAACTTTAAACTTAAAAGAACTTGGAAACATAAAAAACCAATTAATATTAAATTCCTATTTGCTGCAGCTTGCCAAAAGTGAAAACTGGAAACGAGTGTGATAGGTTTTCCATCGAATTTCCGTCAAATTTTCATCCTGTCAGTTGTGACGCCGTTGTCGCTGAGCGCTCTCCGCATTTTCGGCTGCCACATGCAGCCAATGCAACTGTTTCCTGAGTTTTGCCCGCAATTTGCGATACTTAGTACCTCCTATGCCACTGACACCACCTCCTCCTGCCGCTCCTCCTCCAGCAAACAGCTGCTATCACGTTCCCGTGGACAGGTCGTCTTTGAGCCATTGCGGTATTGGCCGCGAGCCCAGCTTTTTGAGCAGCTTCACCAGCGCCGTATTGTGATTGAGATAGTATCTGCAAGCGACAAAAGAAAACATAGAAATGTTCCATCAGAATTTCGAGGCAGAACGTAGTCAAAGTGGTGGCGCGAAATTAGAATTTCAAATCGCTGGTTTCCTGCCTCAAAGACAGAACAAATATGCAGATCGACACGGGCTTATCTTTTGCAGCACCTCTTTGCTGGCTAAGTTTTTGAATATTTTACTTTAGTCTCCCGTCTCTTGATTTTTTTATGTACCACTTGAATTGCTCGGAGCTGAAGAGCAGATTTGTCTGCGGGAATTCGGACAGGTTTGTACCACCAATCTGGGGAACTAAGCTCAGGTCTTAAAAAGAGAAAAGAAAACACCTGGCAACCGAAAGAATATTGGATCAATTCAAGTTTTTATTCTGCACAAGTTTTTATTTTCCCTGAACTAAACCTTTTTATAGCCACATTCGCGAACGTAATCGTTTTTCTCCACCATCATCATGAAATCTCGCCAGGAAACAAATTTCCCCAGCTTACAGGCACTTTTATTTGGCCAACTCCAACTCCCCTGATATATTTCCCATTTACTCCAGCCGAATGCCTCACAAAGTAGTCCATCTGTCCATCTCCATTTCCGTATGTGTACTTTCCGTGTGTTTGTTGGCCTAGAAAAATCCGGGGCGGCAAATCGTTTTCCTTGTCAACTGACAACAGCTGGCATACCGACGAAATCGCAGTACAGCAAAGTGCACTTTTAGCGGCCGCAAAGTGCCACCCACATACACACATCCTTCGCACGAAGAAAAAGCGAGGAGTTTTGTCCCCACATATGTTCATTAATCCTTCACTCAAAGCAGCAAGGGATGTGTGCAGCTCCTTCGTCGTCCTGTCTGTCATCCCAAATCACTCACACCGAAAACGCCGCCCACACGACGGATGGCCCGAACTTTTCATGATTTTCCCACCTTTCCCGGCTTTTTGCAGGTCCCTTTGCTCTCCTTTTCTTTTTTTTGGTTTTTTTTTGGAGGGCTGAGGGCAGTATTCGATTTTACTCACCGCTGCAACAGCTTGGCACTGCGCTCATCCATCGCCGGATACTGGCGTCCCTTGGACTTTCCGAGGCATTTATTGCGCTTCTCGCTGACGGCCTGGCAGTAGAAGCCCTTCTTCACGTCGTATCGCAGGTGATTTGAATAATCGAGCAGCGGCTGGATTTTCAGGAAGCGCTGCAGCTCGTTCATCACATCGATGGGATTCAGGCGCAACTGTTCGCCATCGATGATGTGCAGCTGCTGGGCGGGATAGTAGGCCAGCCAGTGCTCCAAGTGCTGGGCGTACTTGCCCGGATTTAGGCACCGGTTCCGCAGATCCTTCAGGGCCCTCGGTGCCGAGTCACTTGCCGTTATGACCTGTTCAAGTGGTTGGCGTTGGGGTTGGGGGAGAAAAGAAGCGGAATGGTGTAAAATCAGTGATATTTCTAAGCATGAACACCCAATTGCTCATATGCACGTTAAGAAACTGAATCGAATCCTAAACTTGCCCATTTGAGCAATATATAAGATACTCCTAAAATATTATTGCTCTTTGTTGTGCTGTGAACTGCCACCCCCATTTATTCCCAGTGCAGAAATACTATTAAAGGAGTGCGCACCGAGTTCTGAGTGCCTTGGCATGGACCTGGACACATGTCAGAGCAAGCTGGTGGAGCCATCTGAGGCATTCGGACATGTGTTAGTTGTGGGACAAGCCCGGGTGCAAATAGAAATTTTCCGGCATGGAATTTAAATGAAATGTGCCAAAGAATCAACGAAAGAAGCTGCAGGATGTGGGGAGACACCTTATTGCCACAATGGAGCAACAGAACAAGTCGCACAAGTTGTTTCGAATTAAAACCGAATTTTCCAACATTTATTTTGTTTTTCTCGATTTCCTTTGAGGTGAACCCAAATGAATTTTCCTGCTTCCTGTTTGCTTAACTGTTTCTTTTCATTTTGCCCCCACACTGCGAGATAAGAAATTGCAATTTGGGGAATTTGTATTCGCTTCACTTGATATCGAATGCATATCAATCAAGGGGCACCATTTGATTTCTATAGCAAGCAATGAGGCGAGTTAATTATAGTTCATCATTGGGTTTGCTTAAACCTTACAGAACATTGGTCGTGGAAATACAGATAGCTGGAAAATAAGCTGCCTAGTTTCTTAATCGCCCATTAATAATTATAACATACTTCGAGCTGACTTACCTGATAGAAACTATAGTTGTTGGCTATAACATCGCCGTGGGAACGCTGATGCTGGTACCAGGAGTAGGCCCTCTTCGCCGGTGATATCAGGATCGTGACGATTTTTGCATGTGGAAGCAGGGCATGAGTTCGTTTGGGCACAGCCTCGCCATCAAAATAGGTGGCACTCTTCTCGAACATAAAGCGTGGCGAGCCCAACTGCGTGGGCATCGGGGAGCTGGTATTGGGCAGCGATTCGGATGGGAAGAAGTCCATGTACCAGTCCAGCCCACGGTAGTAGTTGTTCCCGTTGAAGAACTGAACCTCCTCGAAGGTTTCCGGACTGGCGATATTGCTCGCAATACTGCCGTGCATGGATAGGAATGTGTACAATGCAGTTGTGCCCGTTTTCTGTGGTCCAATCACCAGGAACTTGGGCAGCGAATCGCAGTTCTTGGTCTTTGACCAGATCTTCTTGTGGCGCACATCGTCACAGGGATTTCCCCACACGGGATCCACCTCCTCGGGATGCAGTCGGAAGTACATCTCGGCCAGCTGAACTGGCGGAGCTGAGGCCAACTTGAGGTTGGTCCAGCACTGCAGGAACTTGATCACCGATTGGAATGTGTACAGAGCCAGACGATCCGATCCATAGTTGGACATGTGCGTCATAAAGATGTTGATGGGATTATACACAATGGTCTGGAAGAGTTCTCCACCCTGTATGGATTCATCCAGCTTATCTCTACCCCCCGGGTAGCGATCAATGTACATGGTGTGGGTGAATAGACCACAAGTTTGCCTGGGCAAGACCATTATGTTGCGATGAATGAATCCTCTTCTCAGTCGAGCTGGTCGCAAATGAGGATACTCTTCCGTGGACGTAACCTTCACGTTCCACACCTTTTTCCAAGCCAAATATAGCAACTCATGGGCGGGGTAAACGCCCGAATGGTGCGGTGATATGGAGTAGCCCGAATCCGTGGGTATGTTGTGATCCACGGCGAAGGCGTAGTTTAAGTGCATTTCTGCCATCAGGAGGGTTAGGTTATCATACAAATGGGGCTGCTGGTGTTTCCACATGTGCGAGAACCAGTTGAACTCTTGAACGTTCTGCAGCAAGAAGTCATCTCCCAGATTTTCTTCTCTCGTGCCATGATGATAGTATTTACCCGAGAATCCCAGATTAAACCGGAAGCCTGGAACCATGGCTGCTATATTTTTCTGGGTTGCTATTAGGGCTCTCACATCATCTGGTCGCAGTCTTGTGCCCTTTTCGCCCACGAATATATCATCTATATCGACTAGAATCATTCGCTCCAGATTCAGACTTAGTTGACCATGACTTAGATAGCTGAGAGCATCCAGGAAGACCAAACGATGAAGCCAAAAACGCAAACTGCTGCCGAAGAGCACTCGTTGTATGCCATCCAACTGTCCGCGATCCTGAAGGACAGTCGTCAGAGGAAGTTGCACCTGACCCACACTGTCCGCTGGATACTCCTGAGTGTTTCTCTGAGCCCACTCCACTGGCTCATAGGTACTGTGATTATGCTGGAAAACAGCCCAATCATCTCCGGGCAGCGCTCCCCAAGCCGTTTCACCAGCTCGTGTTAATCGAAGCACTGATGACGAGGGATTCAAGCTGGCGTCTCTTAACCTCAGGTTCGTGTTGACAAACAGCGGAAAGTCCCGAAGTTGAGCACCCACTAGAGTCTCCTCACTGGGACTCACGAAGCCCACAATTCCCACGGAGTACTCCCGGCAGTATTTGTCCAGCAGCTCTCGATTCCACTTGTCCATATTGAGGTATTTATCCAGGTTCTCGAACACAATCACGCCATAACGACCTTTGTCGAGATTGGTGAGAACTGGTAAACTCTTACCCGCCACTTCGATTTTGTACCTGGAAATAAAAGGAAATGTGTTTAGAATGATTGGAATATAATAATATGCACAAGAGGGTTATAACCATCACATGTTTTCAGCTATAAGTACCTGCGTTATAATAGGAAGTGCAATGAGTATTTTAAAAGATCATCGGCTTCTTTAATCCAAAACAATTTTGGACTGGGAAACATTACTCAAATATTTTTCTAACCCAACCCAATTGTCGTGCAACAAATGGTATATCACAATGATGCCATAACTGTCAAACCAGAAACAACATGGCAAACAAAGATGGCGTTAGAAGGAGTTCCGGCACAGATAGAGATAGAAAGAAAATGCTTGTCAAATGTGACATTCATTGAGGGTGTGAGCAAATGAGACAAACGAAATCCTCCTTGGATTGGAATAGTGCAGCGAGAGCTGCATTTGACAGCCGGATGTCAAAAGCGGTTGGCTATGACAAGCCATATAGAATGGGTGACATTGCAATGCAATTGGGAAGCCCGAAACGTGAGTTGCATGCGATAAGCTTATGTTTGTTTTAGCTGCAAGAATAGATAAGCTTAGATTGTGCTGTCAAGAAAGCGAAAAAAATATATCATAAATCTCAGCGCACGCTTTAACTGTTTAATTTGCATTCGTTAGGGATATCACAGGTGCATTTACGTATGCCATTTGTTATTCATTTCCATTTCCATAACCAGGAACAGCACTTGGAAAAAACACAGCCAATGGCATAATTACATTGAACACGGTTGCATAAATATTCAACGTCCTTATGAATAAAATCAATTTCAATAATATTATTTTCGCTGAGTAAACCTGCTAAACGTTGCCATCTACCCTACGACTACTACTACTACCACTACCACTACCACTACTACTCATATTGTTCCCTTCGCCTGTGCGTAAATATTTTGCATAAATATTAAAATATTTTCACTGATATGGAATTTCCAATTGATTGAATTTCATGTCTGTCTCTGTGCATTTCTCTCTGGGCGGTGGGCGAATGCATATGCATATACGAACCAAATGTCGGTTTTGGTTTTGCGTATATCCTGCATGCACTGCCAACCAGCATCCTGGATCCTCCATCCCACCACATCCTGTTGGCCAGCCAGTCAGGCGGGCCATTTAGTGGATTTTAAAGCTAAACAAGCCAGGCTCGTGACCGAGAGCCAAAAACACAAACCCAAGCCCAAGCCCAAGCCCAAGCCCAAAAGCCAAAAAAATCAGTGATCCGATCCTTCGGCAAAATGTTGTCCACTTTATTCAATATGCCAAGCGGTGTTTCCACCATTTAAGGGGCCAGTACACGTGAAACCCGAAACGGAACGTAAAAAACCCAATGGAGCAGCCATTGTAAGCATTTTTATTGCTTTATTTTTTGTTGTTGTTTAACCCGCCGCACATTCGCCGAAGCATATTAAAAATATTTGCAACTGCCCCCGCAACCGCTCGGCTGCATATAAAAGTCATAAGGCAAAACAGTTTATATATGACTGAATGTGGTGCTCCACTGAGCCGAAACTGCTCCCTGTATATTGCAGATATGTATATACATATATATTATATATATCCAGCGGAATGGGGAGTCCTTCCTCGTGAGCGTGGCGTATTATTGATAGTTTTGTGCGATGGGCCTGACAAAAAACGAAATGACTTTTGGCCTGGTCCCCCTGCGATCCGCTGAGTTATGGGAGTTGGAGAATAAAATCAGGTGGGGCGAGCTGGATATTTTTGGGTGGCGGTGGCGGTGGCTGTTGGGCGGTTAAAACGCTGACACACTGCATGCATTGCATATTTTATGGCGCGTCAACACGAGACCATGTGTCACCCGGCATGGGGTCTCCATTTTGGAGTGAAGGGTGGGATTCTGCAGCAAGCCCATCAAAGTGGTCATTTATGTTTCGCCCGGATATTGAAAAATCGTGCGCCCAGCTCGACGGCTCGAGGACGAAACTCGCATAAAAGAATGGCAGTATTAAGAGGTAAATGAAATGTGAGGATCGTCATTCAAGGCGGGATGACCTGAAGAATCGCCAAAAAATGTCCAACAAATTAACATGGGAAGGCTCTTTAAAATCGTGCTGTAGTTTTCATATTTAAAAATTAGATAACTTTACATTTAGAGTCTCTCAGCGCTCAGATTATACGTTACCACTGTCGAAGATAAGAGCAAACCCGCCGAGCAGCCCAACACGACCCACATCAAATGGCAGACACGAGCCACAGAGGCACCAAACGAATTTTCATTGCATACTTTTCAGGTGTTTGGGGCGCATCGGGGATGCCGGGGCAGATTTAATGCGAACTTCTGCTAGGTTATTCGAGTGCTGTAAGAGCATTAATTAAAGCGTTTTATCTGCACAAAATGTTTGTTTAATTAACTATATAATGACACTTTCCCTTGGTGCGAATGTGTCGCTGTGTGTATGTTGATGTTTGAAATTTAATTGCCAGACGGAAAATGAGAGAAGTTCATTTACAGGCCCGCAGCGGATTTGTTTTAAAAACCCATTACCGGGTATTACTTGCAAGTAAATAAATGTTGTTTTTTCCTTCACCACGCATACGTGTGTGCGTGTTTGTGAGTGTGTGTGTGAGTTGGGTGTTAGAGGGCTTGCGCTTATTTGTTTGCATTTGTATGGGGTGTTAAATTATCCTCGGGATAAACGTAAAAGTGCAAATGCCGGCGTACGCCCGAGAGCTTGTTTTTTCCTTTAACCCCGTGCTTCTTCTTGCCTCCGTTTCCGGTTCGTAGGTGTTTCCTGCTTGTTTGTCTGTCTGCCTGTGCGTATGTATGTATGTTTGTCTGCCTGCCTGGCGCACTGAATGTGTTGGGCTGTGTTTGTTGGCCAACTCGCGCTTGTCGCTTATGCAACGCATTAAACGAGCTTAGTTTTAGTTGACTTCCCACTGCCACTTTGGCTCACAGGGTCTTGTGTCGACTCCGCTCGAGGAGCTGCCACATTCCGCTGTATGCCCCCAATGCCCCCGCAGTCCAGCAGCTGTGTTGTAATTTCATTAGAACGCTTTGGGGCTACCGGTTTCATCTTGGTGGCGCATCTCACTTGGCCTTGTTGATATTTGCGCCAGGAAATTAAGCTGTAGGGCGAATCGCAAATAGAGATTCCGGCACTGGCTACGAAATCCTTGCGAAGAACAAAATGTAAATGAATTATATTTTAAATTTTACCGAGTAAGGGAATTCCTAATACAACTTTATGCAATATTAAACCTTTCATTTTAAAGAACTCTTTACTTTATTTAATCATTGCTCATAATGTAGATAATGTAATATAGAATTTTGTTCTATGTACAGAAGGCGGCATGTAAGCTGCAGATCAACATAGATAGTCACCTTCTTTAATCAAATAAAATCCACAGGATTTATTCGCCCGATTGAAGCGGTATGCCGCCTAGTTTCTGTGGCCAGGCAGGTGAATTGATCCCTGCCATAAGAGCTCACCACATGGAATTCGACGGTCCAAGGACCCCAAAGAGTGGGCGATGGCAAAAGTTGGCCCGCGTGGCAAAGTTTCAGCTTATTAGCTGTGAGTAATGATGCAATTAGCACGGTGGAGGCCATGGACTACCTGATTACTTGATTAGATGTGCTGTGGCAGACACGTGTGCCAATTAGTAGGCAGTGGGGGCTATTGGGGGGCGATTGATTTCCATCAGTCGGACACGGAAGAAGGAAAAAAGCGCAACCTTCTTAGTTGGCTCACAATGGAAATGTTATATTACATGCCTGCAAGTGAACACAAAAGCCGATGTACACAGCCGATGAATAAATCCTTTGAAAATTAATTTTACCAATTGAAATTATACCCTTCATAGGCATCAGCTTAAAATGAAATGAAAACCGTGCTTAATTGGAATGATATTTGCCATAATTTAATACCCATAATGTTGAGGCTCAATGTCTTCGTATTTAAATAATCCACCAGATCGATTCTCGATTTAATCGCTGCAGGATTAAAGTTCCTCCCACTCTACACGCGAATTTCCAATTAAATTCCTCGCATATTAAGACATTTTCCCTGTGGCCCATAATTTTCAAGCGTAATTAACCCCAACCAACCCCCTTCCTCCCACTAGTTACCCCCGGCAAAAGCACTTTGCCCGTTGCTTTAGCAACTCGCTGAGTAATCTATATATCATAAATAAAAATGCCCAAGAGGAGGTAACTGTGTGCGAGTGGCGGAAGTTACTTCTGGCCCGGGACACTAAGCAATGTGAAAATTATACAACAAATGGCCATTACACTATATGGCATCGGTTGGGAGGAGTCGTTGGAATCGTTAGGCCCTCCACGCCCACTCATCCCGCAATCCATTCTGCCATCCTTTCGACGAGGGCAATAAATGAGTTTAAACTACAAAATTTATTATACGCGGCGAAACTACTTAAGACACACACACAGCAATAAAAAGAAAGCAGAAAATTCACGGAGAGAGCAGAAGACACGCAGAGGCAATGTCCTTAAAGTCGCGACAAGCGGGGGTCGCGGGGCGAAACCCCCTTCTGTTTAGGCCAATATAATCACGCAAGCCAGACGACGATGAGGGTTCTTGGGGTAAAGGCGAGGGCTACCTCCTGCTGCTTGAGTAATTCAATAAAATAACCAATTTGCTGAAAAAAAAGAGGAGAGAATGGTTTGAGAAGAAAAGCAGCATAACAACAAGCGGCAGCAACAGCAAAAAGCCAACTTGTCACACAAAACATGAGCGTGGGGTACATCGGGTTTCCAGGGGGTCAAAGGTTGTGGGAACAATCTTTGTGCACAGCATCCAACGACAACAACTCGAACTGCCGCGTCACGTGCCAAGCGCCAGAGCAAAAATATATATATTTTTCCCTCTATTTTCTTCACAAACATAGGGGCGAAAAAATATAAAGACCACACACATATGGCACATATACTCGTACGTATGTATGTTTGCTGGGAGACTATATTGTATGGCCATTGTCGTGGCCTAAACAGTGGAAAGCATTTCCATGAAATCTTAATGGAACGATTCTTATGAATTGAATTCAGATTTGAGGAATTTTTAATTGCAAACGAAATGGAATTTTGAATTTTTAAAAAGAGCTCTTAGCACTAGGACGAGCCACACAAACGGTATTATTCGTCAATTCAATTTGTGGGATTTGAAGTATACAACATGTATTTGTGGAATTTGTAATTAGAAAGGAAATGGAATTTCGAGACTTGACTTGCCAAGATTTTTATTAAAAGGCGTCCTGAGCAAAGCGGTTGAGTTGTCTAAACAGCAATGGTATTTTGTAGGAGCAGAAATATCGCTTGAAATTGTTCAAGAAACTACGAAAAGCGCACACAAAAGTGCATATTTCGCTTTAATAAATCTAATACAGCACTTTTTTGAAAGGAAAGGCAACCTCCAAGAAATTATATAATTTCACAGCCCATTGGCTCCCACTGTGGCACCACAGATAGTCCGCCTGCCTGGTGGCTGGTTAAACTCCATTGACTTGTGAAAAATTGAAAATAAAAATTTTCCGCGACATTATTAAAGTAAACATTGGCGAAAAGGGTGTGATTATGACGAGCCAAGCGCAGGAAAAGCCAGCAGGAGCAGTTACCCAGTTAGGAGCCTGGGTAAATCGAGAAAAGCGGCAAATAGGGGAGCCAAGTCCTCTAGCCAAGTTCTCTATGAAGCTACCAGCTCTACCCATGGCAAGCTTCCAATTGTGGTGGCTGTTTATGGCGCTTGCCATGTGTCTGCGCGAATTGACGTCAGTTGAGGAAGGGATGAGGAGTGGGTTTTCGGGTCTGGCGTTCGTCGTTATGCGCCTTTTGCCATTTCGCGTTTTAAAAAGTTGAAGCTCCCAGTGGCGCAATCAGCGCCCCGGAATAAGCGAAAGGATGAGCGCAGTTTTGGGGCTGGGCCACCACAAAAGCATGCTACATTATTCACACCCACACACACACACACACACACACTCCCACAAGCACACACCCATACTAGGCCACCCATCAGGATGGTTGGTTTCGGGGTCCTTGGTTCAAATGATAACAAGGCTGCTGATGACTTCCGTGTGCTGACTGCTGACTTGACTTTCCGAGGCAGCCGCCTGACTTGGCTGCCCCTTAACCTCCATACTCCTCAAATCAAAAATTGAAAATAAGGTTAAGTAGCTATTACGCTCGCATATACATGAGCCCCCTATTGCGCAGATAATAAATGGCAATTTAATAAACGATGGCATTGCAAAGAACCATTGAGGCGATGCCTTTTGGGCCGGGTAATTACCTTGGAAAATTTCATTAGAATTTCACGGCGCATTAGAGGCTGAAACTTGCCCCTAACACTCACCCAAAAATTCTTCCTTCCTTTTTTTGGAGGCTATCCAGCTTACAAATGGCGGCAATCCGGGCGTAAAAACTTTTGCAAAACTTTGCATACTTACTGGCGCGCGCGGCTTTTGGCCAGAAATTTGTATGTACAATGTAGGCCATTTGTTCGGGGAGGGGAAAAAGAAAAGAGCGTCCAAAAGTTGGCAATCAATCAATTGGCCAGACTAATTGGAGCGGCTACCAGAGCAGCAGCGGTAACAAAGCAAAAGCGTAGTAGCCCAAGTCCATTAGAAAGACATCAAATCCGGGAAAAATACGCCTGCTTTAAATGCAGCGGAGTCTGTAGCAGATATTGAATAAATGTAACAACACTCGCTTTGGGGGCTACGCATACGTAGCATTTGCAGCATTACGCATACGTCAAGTGCGACACTTGGAAAGTCACCGAGTGAATTTTTCATGACTAATTGAGTGGCAACTTGGGAGCAATGAGCAGCGTCGCTTCGGTTCATAAATAATTGATAATGGGAAAAGCGAGTTCTAGGATTGCCTTGCCAAAGATACACGACCGTTGAATGCACCTGTGTCCCGCCCACGCACACACTTACAATTCCTGGGACGCATTTCAATAATGGCTGCCATGGCGCCAGCGACAACTTTGATTGCCTGTGCCTTCTGCATTTGTAACCTGTGCGTTGTGCGTTGCGAGTTGGCAGTTGTGCTGTTGAATTGGAGGATGTGCAGCTCCAGGCAGCACTGCAAAAAACTTGTTCTACACTATATGCTAGGAGGAATCCTCCGGCTGCCTCTTCAATGCACAGGGGAAAAGCTTGGAGCAATTTAAAATTACACCTCTTATGACCTACACAAAAGTTAAAAAAAATCAAGCTAAACTAGCTTGGACAGATCCAAAACTAGAAGGGTATCACTCACGTTGAAAATATGTAACAAAAATATAGTTAAGCCGAAATAATCCGGGATTATTTTGCTTCTGTGCACCCATCCGATCTCCATTCGGTTCTCTGATATGCACACACTTCAAGTTCCTCACAAAAGTCATCAGCAATAATGAGATGGTAATGTTAATGAAATTTGTTGCCCGTCTCCCTCGACTACTGGCAAAGTTTGGAGTACCCGAAACCCCAAGGAAGCAGCAGACTAGTCACTGAAGAGTACACTAATGAAGTCATTGATAAGCAGCGGGAGTAATGGCAGCATCAAGGACCCGCCCAGGTCCTTTCACCCCAACACCCAAACCCGACAGCCGATTCCCGGGCTCATATGACCAAGTTGATTAGGTCATGAGAGTCATTCGCCTGCATATTTGGTTACAGCGCGGGAGACAATGGCTGGCATTACTCAACTTGCCGGGGGTTTTGGAGGGCGAGCTGGATTGAAATGAAGGGGACTGATTCTACGGCTGACTGAATGCCATTGCTGCTGTTGCTATTTGTACTTGAAATCTCATTAAAGTTGAAGCACTTGTCTGCTGATGAAGGAATCGGAGTCGCAGGTCTTTGGGAAATGCAAAGCACGAGCTCGGAACAGCTAGTTTTCCTACAGCCATAACGACAAAATTTAATTATACAACACAAAAGCCAAAGGAGTCGCCCGTACAACATCAACAAAAGCTGCGGCAAATTGGAATTCTTGCCCTTTGACTCCAGCAGACTGGGAACAGCCTTTGGCCTCGGGCTGCTTTCTCTATCCCCATTTATGAAAAAGTGAGCACTCTTCTTGCCTTGGCTATAACCGCAATTTACACAATTCACAAACATGTATGTCGAGCATTTTAAAAAGAGAGTGCGAAAAAAAAATTGCATGAAAATGGTATTGAAAACTTGCCACGCCCTCCCGGTGCCAAAGTGCAGCTGGTATAATAATTGCGGTTACTCGCAGGAGGCTGCTTCCTGCGGTCATTGCGGTTAACCAATTGGGCGGGCCTCGAATTGCCCACACCTACACAGAGGACATCCCAGCACCCACACACCCACACCAGCACACACCAGTAGAAGGCGGTCGACAGGAGAATTACAAAGGCATAACCCAAGGAAGAATAACTCTTTGTGTGCGCCATAAGGAAGGCAACGAAAATGTAGCCGGCGAAATTAGGGAATTCGAAATACCCTCAGGGAACAAAAAGCATACTAGACTGGTTAAATAGTTCCCCATTTCATTTGAAACTCCAGTTTGAAGCTGTGTTAATTCCAAGATCCAAAATTAACATATTTAATTAGAATTAGTATAATTACAATACCATTAGGGCAATTCCTTAAAGCCTCAACAGCATTAATCATAACTTGAATAACTCTGTTTCTGCCAAGCATAAATTAATTGGTACCATTCCACATCTTGAAATGCTCTCGAATTACACAACATTGCTGTCAGACTCTGTGTGTTTATGGCTTACAGTCATACCTAAGGGACTCAACTGCTCCTTGAAGTTCAGCACTTTGGTGGCCAACTGCAGGCAGTGTGCTTGGGAAAAACTGCTGACTTGGTCAGCAGTTGGAGGTGAAGCAGGCGAAGCCATGTGAGCCAGACGACTGAAGATGGCCGGGGCAGGTGAGACATTCGCCAGGGAAAACGAGACTTCCGCCTGAGCTGGCTGCCCAGATGGATGGATGTGCTGGATGAATATGGATGGTATGCACTGGCAAGGATGCTCGGGATGCGGCGCCGTTTGGCAGGCCACTCGACCACAAAAGCATAAGTTGCCAATTAAACTGGAATGCTTTGCTGGTTGCCCGCAGCAGCAAAGAGGAGCAGAGTTTCCACCAACTGAAGAGACACAGACACAGACACAGAGGCACAGAGACACCGAGGCGAGGAGAAGCTGCATAGCTTGGCATTAATTTCATAACCTGCCTTTTTATGGCCAACTACCCAAATTGGGTCAGCATTGACAATGGCCGGGGCTGCAGCAGCAAAGGAACCGAGGAGCGGTACAGGGGGAAACAGAGCATTTCGGAGTCCAGGGTCCGGAGGACCTCACTTGGCACTCTCTCTCTCTATCTTTGTGTGTGTGTGTGTGGGTGTGGGTGTGTGTGCAGGCTGGTGTTGGTTTCGCTGCCACTTCCGTTTCCCAGTAACTTTGAGTGTAATAATTATCGCCGCATCGCTGCCTTCGCAATTATGCAAATTTGCCAGAGCTAATTGTCTATGATTTCTCTTTGCCCTGCGAAACTTACTTGATCCGATTGTAGACAAGCAGCTCGGCGATGTCCCTGCCCAGACCGGAATATGTGGTCTCCACAAAAACGAGGACCTTGGGATCGATCCGCAATCGAGCCTCGGAACGATGGTCGGGCGCTGGGGAGGCATTCCGGATGTGTTTGCCACCAGAGTTGATCATGCGGCAGTTGATGATGGGAGCGGGATGAGTGTCGCGTTGGATAAGCCTGAAAGAGTAGGAATAAATATATTATTAGTTTGTGTTTGGAGTACAATTGCTGCTAAAAGAATTAGATATGCTTTTCAATTTTAGTCGTCTGAACCATCTAAGCCTTTGAGTAATACTTTACGTGGTAACTCGTTTTATAAGCCGCCGCCAAAAGAGTTAAGCTTTAAGCCAACTGCTTCTCTTTGTGCTGTTACCTTTTTGAGCACGCCCAATTCCCCTCACCGAGCTCGAATATATTTAAACATTTACCAAAGCAATTAAATGATAGAAAGGAGCAGACGTTGACTTTTGGAGCTGTCAGAGGGAAAACTCATGCATAAAAAAATATGCTAGAAATAATAAAATGCCAAACTGCACAAAGTCCCGAAATGCAACATTTTGTTGGAGGGTAGATAAGCAAGAGGCAGCAAACTTGCCAGTGGAGAGCGGTTCTTCCGCTCCAAAAGAAGAAGACGATAAAGCGCTGGTGGCGTTCATTTATTGTATTTGCTTTGTCGACCGACTGCTGCAAGGGGATTTCGTGTGGCAGCAACAAGGAGGCGGAAATAGGGAGATGCTGTGACACAACACCGCATGTTGCAGGCCAAAAGTATGAAATAGTAGCTGGGGAATCGTGGCAACGGCAGCCAAATTGAGATACGCGACAACGCTGCGTATGCGTAATATGCAAACATCGTTGGTGGCTGTCGTTAGCGTTGGGTATATGTGTTGTGCTTCCCCGTGCCTGTTGGCTGCCACAAGATAAAAGCCAACCGCCAGATGTCTTTCAATACCACTCTTGTTATGTCACACAAAGAGTAAGGAACAACAGTATTGTATCCTCATTTCTCTTATACAAATATCTCGGGTTTTATGATTTTACGCTTGTATGTATTTCTTCAATTTGAATGGCAGCTCTGAATAAAGTTATTAAGTATTCGTTCACGATTTATAACATTCAATAGATGAGGCTTCTATGCTGAAATTAAGAAATAAAATGTTTTCCACAGTGCGCCCATTTAAGCAGCTCATCCTCAGACTTGTCTCACATATCTTCATTTGCCTGGTGTTCCTGGGTCCTTGAGCTTCTTCGTACTCTTTAAAAGGCAACAATGCGGCTCATTAACAAACCAACAACGAGCTGAATACTGAGCCATCTAATGTAAGTTTGCGAGTAGTCTCAACTATCCTTTCTGGCTGTCTCTGTGTGGGTCAGAACTTTTCTCATAGGAGTGGAAAAGTTTGTGCCCTAAAACTGCCTGAGAATCACCTTTGACCTGGGCAACTTTTCTATTTAGATGTTATCCAACCTTTGGTGTTGCCTGCCCACTGCTCTGTGTTATATCCTTCACGTCGAGTGGAGCGTTTTATTATAAAGCTTATGCAATTTCCACATATCCTTGTTGCTTCCGTCTAACCTTTGCAAGGCAGTCTTCAGGCAGTCCATTGCAACAGGAGGAAAATAATAATAACGTAAACATGCAATGGTGAAAGCGCTTATGTAAAAGCGGCAACATGTGTAAAATCCTTTTGCTGAGCGCCTTTCAAGTAAAATCCCCAAAATTAACAAAAACCTATTAGGCCAAGCCCCGCAATCTGAAAGTGTACCGTTCACAGGACATGCATGCAGGACCCAACTGACTGCCTTGCAAATTGTAAATACTTTTTGCATTACAAAAATGTGGGGGGTGGGCCGTGTGGTTGTGGAACGCCCAGGATCCCAGGATCCCAGGTCCTGGCAGGCTGGCAAAACTTTTGCACTGCCAAAACAAAATATTTAGATAGCAAACGAACACATACACATATATACACACACGTTCAGGTATAAAACCGGTAGGTCCACCGAAGCTATCAGAAGGAATACTTTCTTTTTCTTCCTTTTAGTTTTGTTATCCCAAATGCAGTACAAACAGAGGAAAAAGTACTGGGGAATATAATGCGAGAGCAGTCGGTAGCTAAATTAATAACTTTCCAAAAACATATGAAACATATCCCTAAAATATATATTTTTCTACTGGAAATACAAAGGCACACTTTTGAATTTGGCTAACCCTGATATGTATCGCTCTCTCCGCTCGGAAGGTTGCCAAATGAAATGTGGAAAGGATAATGGGCTATTCGGCACAATATTTACAACGGGCTTCCGCGGTGGGCTCCTCATCACCGCTTTCAGTGCTGCCACCTCTGCCACTGCCTCCTCCACCGCCACCACCGGAATCCTCGCCCTCGGCACTACTGCGGTAATCATCGATGATGGCCTGTAACTCCTGCTGAGCATCCTGGAACTCCTGCTCCTCCATTCCTTCTCCCGTGTACCAGTGCAGATGAGCCTTGCGCCGCAACATGGCTATGGAGCCGTCCAGTAATCGCTGGAACAGCGATTGAATGGCCGTTGTGTTCCCAATGAATGTGGCCGACATCTTAAGGCCCCTCGGTGGTATATCGCAAATAGCCGTCTTGATATTGTTGGGTATCCAGTCTACGAAATTGTTGATGTTCTTATTCCTCACCCCAGTCATCAGTTGGTCGACCTCGCGCGGCGACATTCTACCCCGGAAAATTCCAGCTGCGGTCAGCAGTTTGCCCTTTCGCAGATCGATGGCACAGAGCAGATTATTGCTAGAGAAGATCTGCTGCACCAGCTCGGAAACGGTGCCCTTGCTGAACTGCTGCTGCTTGCAGGTGACCAATGGTGCGAAGCCCGGTATGAGGAAGTGCAGCCTCGGAAATGGCACCATATTTACATAGATCTTGCGCAAACCGGCATTCAGCTGGCCAGGAAACCGCAAACAAGTGGTTATACCCGACATAGTCAGGGCCACTATGTGGTTGATGTGCTCGTGGCCGGAGGTCTTGATCTTCAGGTTTCTATTGCAGATCTGGAACAGTGCTTCATTATCAAGACAGAATGTTAAATGCGAATTGTTGACCAGGGCGGGTGCACTGAGTAGGGCATTATAGGGTTCCACCACCACCTGCGACATATTGGGCGACGGAATGGTAACGTAGTTGCAAAGCAAATTATCCGGATACTGCTCCACCAGGGCCTCCATTATTAGGGAGGTCAAGCCGGAGCCAGTTCCGCCTCCGATCGAGTGGAGTAACTGAAAGCCCTGCAACGAATCCACCGATTCCACCTCCCGACGCGTACTTTCCAGCACCTGCTCCAGAATGGCGGCACCGTCCGTGTGATAGCCACGTGCAAAGTTGTTCCCAGCGCTCTCCGTTCCAGCCACAAAGTTCTCCGGCCTGTACAACTGACTGCTGGCGTTGAGACGCTGGATGGTGCTGGCCTCCGTGTCGATCAGAATGGTGCGGGCATAGAACCGTTTGCTGGCCGTGGCGTTAAAGAACACATTGATCCGCTCCAGCTGAAGTGGACTGCTGCCGCCAAAGCGGCCAGAAGCGTAATCCACACCATGCTCATGTGAAATCACATGCCAGAACTAGAAAAATGCAACACTTAGCACATCACCAATATCCACTGGTTTACCTACAGCATCTCCGATGGCATTACCGGCTCCGCCGATCTGCAGTGTGACTATCTCCCTCATGTCGTCGACCCAAACTCCGCTCCTTAAAACCACTAAGCTGGGGGCTACCTCCTCATCCTGTCCTCCGCTTTTCTCGCTCATGCGCTCAGCTCATAGGTTTTCAATGGGCTCGACTTCTCCCGGCCAACCTGATCACTAAATTTCGACGGCAACCTAGTTATAAACATTTCTATACCGCTGGCAGCAGACAATTTTCAAACTTTTAAACAAGGGTTCCAGGTCCAGTCCAGCCTGTGAGCCCATTGGTCAGCACAAGGGCTTTGCACAATCCAAATTAGATTCGAGAAATTGTTATTATCCTGGAACTTATCAAACAATCAAGAAGTACTCAGAGCACTGGAATACCCCAAAAACTTGCAAATAACTTTCGCTTCAATTTCCAAGTGCATGTTAAATTTATGCGAAATTTGTGTGAGTAAAGGAAATATTTTCGGTAGAACCCCTAAAACGTGGCATTCAGAACGGAAAATAAAATGTTATTCAACTCTACTTTGTACGTGTGCTGGCGAAAAACTTTGGTAATGCCTCAACTTTCACATTCACTGTACTTTGCGTCCAAAGGCAATTAATTTTGATTTGGTTGAACGATGGTAATGCTTTCTTAATTAAATCAGTGTAATTCATGTGAAATGATTTCTGCACTGTTAAACATGCATATAAATATATCTACATTTACAATTTATTGAATTTCGTTTACATCTTTATTAAGCCTTTCAGCAACTTTTCCTTTCCATTTATGTTGTGCTAATAAGCAATAAATTCTCGATTACCTGACAGAAACTTGTACGTACGAAACGTGTTCAATAAAATCTTCAATATTTAACAAATAACCCATTTCTACTTTTGTAATCATTTAGGAATTGACCATGGATTTATTCATCGCCAACCACAAATCCGTTTTCCCCTGTGACAGCAACAATGTAACTATTTTCCAGTTTTTGCCATCCTTACAGGACATTTTCATAGTTGATCAGCGGCGGGCAAAACTTTTGTGACTCCCGATGCCCGAGTCCTGCGGCATGATGAAGAAATTTTTGCTGCTGGCTCAGCCTTCCCGTTTTGCATTTTCGTGCAACCTGTTCTGTTTTGGCCTGGCCTCTCAGTTCGCTGATTTATTTGTGCACAGCACAAAATTTCCGTTTCCGTTGGCGAAGAGGCGGTGGGCGGGGCGTAGAGTGGGCGTGGGGCGGTGGGCGAGGTCGCAGGGACGTAGCTTCGTCTTTTGTGCTGCATAAATTAGGCAACAAAAAGTCAGTTTATGCATTTGCGACGTGTTATTTATGCGGGCGTGCAACAAACTTGGCAAGCAGCTAGCTGCTCTCTTGCAAATGTTGCACTGTCAACGAAGCTGGCAGAAAAGGGGCGGGAAAAGCTGGAGGAAAAACACAGCAGAGGAAAAGGCTTACGGCCATGAGCGTGGCCAAGGCTTATTAGTCAAGTTGAAAGACATGACGCGGGACGGTTT